ACATCTCAAGAGACGCAACTTTTACTTTGAAGGCGGACTCTGGCGGACCATTACACCACTAGCAAGAAGGTGACACAAGGCAGGATTTATTCATGCTTTCATGTCTTTTATGCCCATTTCGGACCCTGCCATCTTGATGTCACAGCAGAAATCAAAACACATGAAACAAGGCAATCTTTTCTAATCTCCTGTTGTGCAGTTTTGGTGAGCCCATGTGACTTTCCGGACAGAAAAGCCCCTGGTGCAGTCTTCTGCTGCTCTAGACCATCTGGTTTGTGTTCAGAGATGCTCTTCTGCGTACCTTGGATGTAACCAGTAGATCAACAGTAGATCTACAATCTTCGGTTTTGAACACATCTCATCTTGAAGAAATTTCTTCAAATTTGCCAAAAGCATACACTTGGACCACAAACAATTTAATATTTGGAGGTCAAAGGTCAAAGTCATCAAGTCTTTATGTCTTCTTAATTTCAGCAATGCCTTGAAGGTAAGAGGTCGAAACACAAAGATGGGGACCAATAAACCCTGGTGGTAGCTAATAGTCCACGCTGACCTTCAGGCTCTGGGACATAATGAACCACATCTGTCATAATTAAGCACTGGTACATGATTTTTAAAGCTGTAACCAGAATTATAGGTCACCGGTTAGATGTCTGCATGCAAAAGCCGAGCAACAAAGGTTAATTAATCCCATGAATAAAGAGGAGAGTGAAAAGAGGGAGAGAGACAGAGAGAGAGCAGAAACCAAGCGCGCAGCACGGATAGAGTTTCTCCCGGCGAGGGATCACTTTGACCTCCATGGATTCAGTTTCCCCTTCCTTGTGACTCACACGTCAAAGCTACACGCTACACGTTGATGCAACACAACGGTGGGAGCAACTATGATGCTTTTTCTTTTCTTTTCTTTTTTTTTTCTTTCTTTTTAAATTGTGGGATAAACTTATGGTGATCGCCGAGCGCGCACTGCGGTTCCTGCCTCGGGGCACCATGGGCTCGTAAGATGCCTTCTCTGTGGAAGCGGATAACATTCTCGGTGGCCTCGGCGCTCTGTATCGGCTCGGTGGTCCTCTTGGTGGTGGCTTTATCCACGGAGCGGTGGGTTACCGGGCGGATCCTCTGTAAAACCGGGGTGGAGATAGTGAATGCGTCAAATCCCGAGCTGGACCAGTTCATCGGGAGCATTTATTACGGATTGTTCCAGGGAGGAAAGACCAAGAGGTGCGGGCTCGGGGACAGGCGGTCCAAAATTTACAGTAAGACGATTTCAGACTTTTAAAACTACACCGATGCTGTCTTATTAGAGTAGAACAACACGTGAGCATCACTTTTGTTTATTTTTACAGGGGGGTTCACCCTGAACTCAAACTTTGTTCTTTTAGTTGTGACATGAGTATAAAACATTTACTAAGATATGATCATAGGCCTTAGAGAGGCACAAAGAAGCTGATGCTGTGAACTCAAACCACTTTCACACTCACAAAAATCAGCCTGTGGCCTTATTTTAATGAATATACCAAAATTTTAGGGTTTGGGTAGCAAACAAAATACTAAAATTATCTAAGTTTGTTTGCTATCCACAAATTTACATAATAATGTAGAGGGTTACAGCTCGACTTTTTATACAGTCCAACAGAGCTGATAAGATGCAGTATTTGATTCTTTCTGCTCTCTCCAGTTTTCCCAAAGCTTGTGCGGACACTGAACGGGGGCCTCCACATGATGGTGATCCTGTTCCTGCTGGTGGCTGTGGGTTTCGCGCTGGTCAGTCTGTCTTTCTGCATTTACAACGCACGCAAGGTTCCATACCAGAGCATCAAAGGGCACAAGGGACTCTATCTGTGGAACTTCATCGCTGGTATGTCTCAGATGATGCATCATTTTGTTTCTTGTCCTTTCCCTGACTTGCCTGCTCCTCTGTCTGCAGCTCTGTTTGGTGCCCTGGGTGTTCTGTGCTTCCTGGCAGCTGTCAGACACCACAGTCTGACAGAGCGAGTGGCAAACTTTAGGGAGCACCTCTTCGTCCTCGTTGTCTTGGATGACAGTCTGGACTGGTCTTTCTGGCTCGGCGTAGGCAGCATTGCAACTCACTTTGCTGTCTGTGGAGTGGTCGCGATGAGTCGTATCAAGCTGCCCAAACCGGAGATCAAAAAACCTGAAGAACCGACTGTCTCTGCTGTGGACCTGCTGTACTGAAGAATATTGTTTTTTAGCATTTTCATCACTAATGATGGACAAGCGCCAACCGTCAAAACAAAATAGTGCCAGGGCCCTGTTCCTTTGAAGCTGTAACTGAGTTTTAGGTTAATTACAGCCAAAATTACTGAGTCATAACTACATAAATTAACAAGTTGGGACTAAAGTGGCGCCTAACTCACATACAAAGCCCAGGCAAATTCGTCCTTACCTTGATGATCATGCAGCTGTTTGAAATGACTAATGTATTAGTATAAATCTGGCTTTGATGCATATGGATTTATACATTGTTATGTTTGATTTTTCAGAGTAAAAGTCAAGCTTAAAAGTAAACATGCCAAATCTCATACTTTGAATGAGTGCTGCAGTGTGCAGCACAGATCCTAAAGTCAGTATGAAAATATATATTTTTTTCTTTTAAATAGTCGTGTAAATAAAGTGTTAATGTGTAATACTATGTTCGTACATCATGAATTTAATTCGGACACTTCAAAGCTCAGCGATACATGTCTGCAAAAGAGCATAGAGGGTTACTTTAGTTATGTCAATCATTCACACTAGAAGAAGATTCACTCTCCTTGGTCAGTCAGTTCATGCAGGAGACAGACATCGAGATAGAAGAGATGGACTGAATGAATGAAAAGGCTGCAGAGCGTCCATCCTGAATTACACCTTTTACCGCATTCATCATCTACATATTGTTTGCAAATACATGATTATTTTCCAATCATATTTATGTGTTGACAAAGACAGAGTAGTGTCTCAAGTACGTGGTCTCTGTCAGGTCCTTTTCTGATGCTTTTTAAAATTTTATTTATTGATATATTTTATTTACTTATTTCATTTTTAAAAAGTTTTAAATGCTGAGCTTGAGAGATTCTTAGCCGATGATGCAATAAATAATTGTATGATGTGCTTAAATAAAGGACAGTGCTTTTAAGTAAAGTCTTCCTATGCAGCTTTCTATGAAGACAAAAAAAGTTGTTTGTTAGAAAAAAAGTGAAAAAATTATTTTGAAAAAGAGTTCATGTTACATCAGCAGGCCGAACTATTTCAGAGTCTTCAAGATCTATTCTCCCTTCTTCATAGAAACGTGTGTTCAGGCGTCTGTATATAAGATAGCATTAAACATCAAGTGCTTACTTTTTTGTGACTAGTTTATGACTTCCCTGGACACCAAAGCTTTGTTTTTCTTCTTAAGAGACTGTCTACAGCAGGGGTGGACAATCTTCCCAAAGAAGGCCACATGAGAAACTGAGACTGTTTCTTACGTGGCCTGACATTAATTTGAACTTTTTCTAATTTACTGGACTGTCCCTCAAGAATAGTTTCTAATGTGACCCCATTGGGAAGATTAACTACCCACCCCTGGTCCACAACATATAACGTCCGATATCCCTTCATTCACACACATATACACATGGTTTAATGATGTTAGAGAATCCCCTAAAAATCATTCCATGTATACAGTTAACTTTTATAATGGAGACGTGCTGTAGGGGAGACCGGGGATAGTTGTAACATTTTTGATATTTCTGTCTGTAAATTGGAGCTCTTTTAAGGTAGTGGATTCAAAATGTAATGCAAAGTATTTACATGTCTCGGCTATTAAATAGTGCAGCTATTTTCTCTGCAGCACAATTACCCATTGCATGGTATGGTCTCAAACACAAAGAGTGAAATGTTACAATTAACCCCATAGTCTGGGTTAGTTGTAACATATCCACAATGAAATAAGGGTACTAACAAAACATTAACATGTAATCTTTGTTTATTCAACACATGAATGCACTTACATCCATTTATGTAGCTGTGTGTGTGTGACAGAATGCAGAAATCTAGCTTTTGAACATATTCCAACCCCCCAAAAAAGACAAATTATGGAATTTTCTGCAACTGAATATTTCATTAATTTTGGTTGGTCTTCCTTGAGTTTGGCCTCATTGGCTCAGTGGGCATTATAACCTACAACTCTTGCACCAATTTTGAACATAACAATGAAGCTGAAAAAATGTAGTTGTTCACCAGCATCGCAATTCCATTACTTTTTATCATGGCTTACCTTGGTGTGGTTTGCAAAGTGCTTCAGAAAGATGAGGAAATCTGTTTCTTGCCCATCCTGATTTATTTCCACTACCAGTACTTCCTACTGGTCCATCTCTGACACAGTGGTCTGCATAATGTATGTGTGGGAACACAAACAGTGGAGGAATTGTGTTGCCAATGGCATTAACCGCATATACAAATGCGACCAGTGAACCTCTCTCTGCTGATGTCGTTGCCCCAACTTGTTTAATATAAGTTAAAGTAATAGTGTGGTAAGTTGTAACATCTGCATTATTGTTACAACTAACCCAGACTGTTGCTGTTACAACTGACCCAGACTCCTATAGCCATGAACTAGCTAACATTACAGCCAACGGCTAAAACATTAGCACTAAAGACCTACACAGAATATATCCCCATAGCAGGGACGTGCAGAGGGGGGGGCTAGAGGGGCTTGAGCACCCGCCCCTTTCCTGATGAGTGCCCAAAGTGCCCTTTTGTTGAGGCAACTTTTAAATTTTTTTTATTTATTTATTTATTTATTTTATGTGTGTGTGCGTGCGGAGTCCTGTCTGTGCCCCTCAACAATAATATTTAACTATTAATCATAGTTTTGCTAAATAAAAGGATCTGGCTTGCATCAGTCACATGATCACATTTAACCAATGATCGCCCTTGACGGCAGAACGCGCTGGTTACGAGCCGGGAACGAGCTCACAAAGAGCACGCGCATTTTTTGCGGTCCGGAGCTGTAGGAGAAACACAAGTTAACTCAGAGACACAGACTGATGCGACAAAACCAGTAAGTAGGTGTAGTGAGGCAGATGAAGCCCCATGAAGCACTGAAGCTTTTCATCCAATTGGTTCACCCCAACGCGAAGCTTCATGAAGCTTCATTTGCTCTAGCAGGACACCTACTGGACGTAAAAATAATAGCTGGCATGAATTTGAAGAGTGTGGCATTATGCACACAGCCTGTAAATGTCAACAACAAAAGGAGTGTGTAAAACATGTATATTGTAGTGATGGCAGTATACTGTGTATATTTATAGTGGCAGTATGGGAAATGATTATTTGGAAATGCTTGAAATGGAAATGATCATTTACTGTGAGGTGAGGTGTGGTTGGGGTGTGGACAGTAGTTGTGCTTTTGTAACGTTGAGGTATGGACAGCTACACACTGAGCCTAGTCCTGCCTGTTCACATTTTATTCTGTAAAAACTAAATTTTCACTGCTTTTACGACCTTTTTAGTGGGGAGAACATAGCTAGGATTTAATGATTTAACAAATCTTTTGAATCCTTTGTCCTCCACAATGCTAAATGGCTGTGAGTCCTCAATCACCATGCTGACCAGGTCTTCATCTATTTGAGATTGTTCTCCTGAGGAAAGACAATAAAGATAAAGCACAAATATAAATATCACACACGTAACTTATAACAGTTGTATAATATTGTTATATCATTTAGTAACATTACTGCATGCTATATTATCATTGCATTTGATGGCTCACCTGGTCTTGCTCCACAATCGGTGTCCCCCTTATTCTCATGCAAAGCTCTGTAGTGCCTAAGCATGGATGAGGTGTTGTTGTTATATCCCAGCTCCCTGGCACATAGCAAACACTTCACCTTGTACAAAAGTCAAGACAGCTCAACATAAATTGTATTGCACCATCAGTATCATGAAAATACATCTTCTGTAGAAATTTACATACCTTGTTGGGAGGAATAAGATCAAAATGTTCCCACACAGGGGAGGACATCCTCCTCTTCTTAGCTGGCTCCATTCTCTCCTGACTTTCTCTCCACTCTCATAAACCTCCAAACGGTCTCCAAACTCTCACTAACCCAACTCTCCATCAAACACCCACATTTTTGAATGAAGTCTGAGGGGTTTATATCGCTGTCATATCTCGCGGCAAAGTTCGAACCACTTCATGAACCAGTCACGTGGTACAGCCGGGCAGCGAGGCTTCGGACGTCATCATTTTCAGCTCCTCCCATAAATGAAGCAAGCCTCGATACGCGCTTCGCGGAAACGCCCCCTCCATTACTCGACACACGCTCCGAAGCCTCGATACAGAACGTCCCATCACTAGTAGGTGTACAGCGCACACTGTAGTGTGTAGCACACAGGAGTATTAGCTTATTACGTACACGTTGGTAAGCTGTCTTGTTGCAACTGACGAACTGAAACAAACGAGCGTGCTGTGTGTGCAACAGCGCGACAAACATTACCTGTCCTTTTATTAACTGCACAAGTAGTGCTGGTCACAGCTGCTGGCTACCTGTGTAAGGCTGTCATGGGTCTGTAGCTCTGTCACCGTTTTAGGGAACATATTTAGTTTTAAAGTAAGTTTCTGGGCATTTCCTGCCTTTCTGGAGGGATTATATTTCACTAAAAAACGATCTAATATGCATGTCCACATAATAATTATTATAATTATAATATATTAAAAAACACACGCTGTATTTTAAAGAACATACATTAAGAAGCAGATTATATTAGATTTATATTTTAAATAAGACAAAATTTGGATTTTACAGCAGTAAAATGATTGTATCTCTACAGTTTAAAAATGTAATAAGCTTTGCCCCTGCACAGAGTGGATAGTGAAACAAATGGAATCATCATAATGACATTATTTCATATTTATTACTTCCCCCTCCTCATTGCTTTATTATTGTAGCTCTAGTAATAAATAATAATGTAAGGATGCCCATAGTATATACAGTATTCTGAAGAAGGTCTAAAATGTCACTGTGTGTGCATGTGTGTGTTTTATTTAGCTGGATTTAAAAAAATATTACTCATGATATAACATTGTGCAGACATGGCTGGTAAGGACATGAGGAGGAAACAGTAGGAGCTGTGTGAGGCTACTAAAGGCAGTGCTATAACATTTTTCTGTCATCATTTTATTATAGATTAAGTGCAAGAGTTGTTAGGTGTGGATAATTAGATTATAGTTTATTGCAATAGCAAGTTGTGCCTTGTTCTCAGATAGACAGCAAGTGGAGAGTGATATATGAAATGATGGGAAAAGGAAGAAGAGAAGCAAAGAGTGATTCACAGGCAGAGCCGAGTTTATGTCACAGTTTTTTGTTGCCTTATGGTTCCAAGCGCTGTCACCAATCTTTGCATTTTGTTATTATCTCATGACACTTGTTTAATCAGCTACCATCTCTCCTGTGGACTTTTTAATGTCTACAGTCTCAGATCAACACAGCCCTGCCCTTCCCATATTAGATTCTTGATGAATGTGTGTTGTTGTTATTCAGCATGGTTCAATGTGCCCCTTTTTAACTTTGAGCACCCGCCCCTTTAAACCTCTCTGCACGTCCCTGCTATAGACATACAAATAACATAATTTAAGTTTGATGAGTTTAACTGCAAAGCAGATAATGCTATTACAAATTGAAATAAAGTAGAAAAACTTACTTTTTGGCATACAAATTACTTTTTTTCGTGTTAAATTGTCTGTGTTTGACAAAATGTGCTGATTTTTCACATGTGATAGCAGAACTGAGTTGGGCATGCACAGGATGAGTCACATCATTTGAAACTTAGCCCTGATTGGAGAAATTGGAAGTGTTACAACTGACCCACGTTACAACTATCCCCGGTCTCCCCTACCTATTACTAATATTGATCAGAAGAAGACTGATGATGCTTTTTAATGTCAAGCTTGAAAGAATATTTATTAGTAGATTCATGTTATAGTCAAAAATAAAAATACTGAAGATAAATACTGTGTGTGTTTTTATCTTTTTGCAGTTTATGTCAAGATTGTTTTACTTAGTGAAGTCAAACAAAGGCGATTGTATCAGTTTATATTACAGCCATTTTAACATACAAATAAGGAACCCGTGAAAACAAATATAAAGTGTTCATTAAAAGTATGAAGTTGCTACATGTTTTTCCAGCTTTGGGTCTTCTTAAACTGCTTTGATCGCCAAATAATATCACAAGTATCCGTAATACTGGCTCTTAATCAATTATCCATCTGCCGCTAGGTGGCGACAAAGGCCCCTCTCCGTCGTCTCACTGTGACGTACAAATAAACGCGACCGATCGGCTTCCTCTCGCACATGCTCAGTGTACGACCTTTAAAAGTGATTTATTTGGGCTCTCGGTGTGTGTGTAACAGATGACAATGTTTCTGGTGAGGACAGCTGCGCGGACGGCGGTGCGGACAAAGTCCTGCAGGTCGTTTTGTGTCTCACACACTCAGCTGAGCGACAGAAAGGTGAGTTTAGCATCTGGTGACAGTTACATCATCATCATCACCACACGAGACTCATTCAGTTTCAGATCAGTTCGGCTCCGTGTGTTGGTTCAGATGCTCTGCAGGTTCATACGTGAGAATGTGGCCGTCTGCATCTTTTATCATATTAAACGGTGTTTGTGTGTCTACAGGGTCTGGTGCTGGGAGTGTTTGAGA